GAGCCGGGCCTGCTCCTGGCGCAGCCATCGGAGGCGCCCCCGGCGGAAGGCAGGGTCCTTCTCCATCAGCCGGGAGACGCGCTCGAAGCAGGACGAGGGCGGGGGCGAGGCGGAGGACCTCCCCTCCGGCTCTGGCTCCTGGGGTCCCAGCGAGTCCTGGCTGCCCGTCCGCAGATCCGGGGGCTCCCCCTCGGGGTCCAGACCCTCCGCAAAGAGCAAGGAACCCCACTCGTTCTCAAGGTCTTCATCCTCCTGGGGGGTGGGAGAGGAGAGAGAGGAAAACCGGAGAGAGGCCAGTGGGCCCAGGGCGGATGCTGTCTTCGAGGCCCTCCTCCTGCCGGTGAGCCCCCCCCCGCTTCATCCACCCTAAGCACTTGACCAGGACCTCGAACAGGAGGCTGAAGCAGCTGTGCAACACCCCCCCCCGCTGCACCCAGCAAACCAAATGCTCTGGCCCCAGAGTGGTGCCCCCCCAAAAGGGAGGAGCGCAAAGGGCACATACAGCGGCCTCCTTGAGCCAAGAGCCTGGCCAACGGCTCCCAGGATCCCCTCAGCCGCCATGGGCTACCATGCCCGCCCCCGGCCACGCTGGCTGGCGGGTGGAATCCTTGTGTTCTTCTCCACATTCCTAGGAAGCAGGACAGGCGGTCCATGGGCTACTCCACCGACAGCGAGGAGTGCCACGTTGGGGGGAGGGGGGAGAAGAAGGGCAGGCAGCAGCCACAGCTCACCTGGGCCGAGATGGGTATGACCCGCTCCATCTTGACCACACGATCCCGCAGGGCCCGGATCTCCTCATCCTTCATGTTGTTCTGGATCTTCACCTCCTGAAGGATGTCGGTCAGCTTGTCAATGTGAGCCCGGAGGTCGTCCACGTCCACCCCCGGCGTGCTGGCTCGGCTCTCTGAGGCGCCTCCTCCTCCTCCTCCTCCTGGACCACCTCCGTCCGATTCCCCCACCCCGACCGTGTCCCAGACATCCCGGGCCACCGCCCGCCAGCTGTCGCGCTCGTTGGGGTCCCTCTTGCCGTACAGGCGGCACAGCTCCTTCATCTTGACAATGCTCATGGCCTCGATCTCCTGCCGGGAGTGGCGGAAGTCGTTGAGGGCCACCTCGTAGCAGATTTCCTTGACCGCCTGCATCTTGAGGTCAGCCAGGGTCAGCCAGCGAGGGTCCTTGGCCACCCGGCGCCGCTGCGGGATCTGGTACACGCGCAGCGGCTCCCGCTTCTTGCCAGAGCTGGGGAGGCCACAGCGGCGGACGATGCTCTGGACTTTGGTGGCCGGGAGCTTCTCGCGCAGCGACGAGATGAGGCGCCAACTCTCCTCGCACGAGCGCTTATCCGAGTCGTCCCCGCTGTCGGAGTCTGCGTACTGGCAGGAGGAAGGCAGCAGAGAGCTGAAAGTGGAGGTTGGGGGTCCCGGAAGGGTCCCGCCTTACCCCACCCCACCCTCCTTTGATTCCAAAGCTACAGAATCCCCCCCTCCCCAAGCAGGGTCAGACCCGGCTGCTCCCCGGACAGGAGATCCCCCCTGGGGCGCCCCCATCCTTGGGCCTCCAGATTTTCTTGGACTACACCTGCCAGAAGCTTTCACCACCACTATCTCTGCTGGTCAGGATTTCTGGGAGTTGAAGTCCAAGAACATCTGGAGGCCCAAGGTTGGGGGACCACTGCCCTGGGGGGACTCCAGAGATCTCTGGGGAGGGCTGGGCGAGAATCTGACCAAGGAAAACCACCAAGAGTCCTTCCTGACTGCCAGTCGGAGGGGGGCAGGGTTGGGCGAGAGGGGCACCAAGACCCCCCCCCTGAGGCTCAGCCCAAGGCCGGCCCCTTTCCCCCCCCTCAGTCCTGCTCTTTTGACGTGTGCTCTGGCGCCTTGCCCGGGGCCTGTCCAGGCACGGAGAGAAGTCAACGCGCTGGCCCACCACTCTGCCCCCCCCCAGCCCGTACCAGTCTTTGCTGCTCGAGAAGCAGGTCGGCCTCCTCCTTCTCTCGCCGATACTGGGTCTCCAAGTCCTGAAGGCTGGCAGGGGCCA